GGGAAAGAGGGAGAGAAAGAGAAAGACAGAGCGCCACTTGCCCATTTTTTTCGGACAATCCCCTTGTACTTGTTGGAGTGAAAAGAGGAGTGCATGGATGTCAAATTGCCCTCAAAACACCATGAAAGATTGATTTGCAGCACTTTTCAGGGCCCTGACATTACTTGGAGGGGAGTTGAATAGGAAACCTGTGAGCCGGGGATGGAATAAAGATGTCCTCTCTGCTGGAAAAAGAAGGAAAACTGCCCATTTAGCCCCAGTCCATCAAGCCCGAAAAATAGGCAAGAGAGGAAAAAACACAGAGGACTGTGACTATAGAGAAGGAAGGGCCCTATATACTCATCTAAACGTTGCCACAATACCGAGGGGACTCCGAACAACAATGAATATTAAACCGCTTACCTCAACAAGGGCTTGAAAAGTGAACCACGTCAAAACAGCTTTGCATGTTTTGCATGCGAACAATGCTGTAAAAAAAAATCCACGTTGAGCTTGTTTCCATTCTTGTTATTCCCGCGCTAACTCCTCACAAAAAATTAATTTTATCAACGCATGAATACGAAATGCCTGAGAAAACATGGGCGAGCAGCTCCCAGACCCAGGGACCCCCCTTTTACGCACACAAAAAACGACTTATCACTTACACCGAGTGCATCGTTTGTAACATGTTTGTCTGGCTTTACAGTCTGTCCCTGGTTATTTCTGTCACTATGCACTTCGGATCATGCATGACTTTAAAACAGAGTGCAGCCTGTCTATTCCTAACAACCCTCAGCTTTTTAAGCGCTTTGTGGTGCCCACCAGTCTATTTATTGTCATTTTTCACAAATCAGCACTTTTTTTGCAGCTTCGCACAAAAATGGTGCATTAATTTAATAAGTGCATGACAAAAATAAAGCCTCTCTCTCTCTCTCTCTCTCTCTCGTGTGTCTTTATGGTTTTTTTTCTGCTGGTTTGCTCACGGTGCGGCAGGCAGGTCCACATGGTGAGGGTGTGTCATTAATAAGTAATTAGCCAGGGGTCACGTTAGCCACTTATATAAAGAGACCCTCGCAGCCGGGAAGGCTGCCTTTCGCACTGTCTGAAGCAGAAGGACGGGCTGAGGAGCCGCACCTTGTCCACTTCTTCTTTTCATTAGCTCTTCTTGCAGCTGCGCCGCTCTTATCATTTCAGGGTTTGCATTCCCCTCCCCCCCCACCCCCAATATGGGCTCCGTGCTACCCGCCGACGCTTTGGCTATCAAGACTGGACTTAAGTGCCACAC